GTGGTTGACAAATGGAATGCATTAGGCAGTGATGTGGTGGAGGCTGACTTCATACAGTTTCAAATGTAAATATGATAGCCCAATAGGCTCGGGAATCTGTACACCAGATGATTGACAGTTGAGAGGCGGGACCAAAGAGCCAGAGCTCAACCCCCGCAAGCACACCCAGGAGAGTAGAGGGGTCCGGACGCGCCCATATAAGCCTAGCCATGTGAGCACGCGAGACCACTCTAAAATCATCACACCTTAACTACCTATAACTATGTAATTGCATTCCATTGTTAAGGAGCCCGTCCTCTTGCCACACCCAGTAATTCCTTGTGTGTGTGGGGGCGGCCGGCCCCGCTGCCACCCCCAGTATGGTGCTGGGGGGCCGCTGCCACACACCCCTATGGTGCTGGGGGGGGGGGCCTTCCTCCACTCCTTGTGTGGTGGGGGGGGCCGCTGCCACCCCCCCGTATGGTGCTGGGGGGCCGCTGCCACCCCCCGTATGGTGCTGGGGGGGCCTTCCTCCACTCCTTGTGTGGTGGGGGGGGGGCTGCTGCCACCCCCCGTATGGTGCTGGGGGGGCCTTCTTCCACTCCTTGTGTGGGGGGGCCCCGCTGCCACCCCCTGTATGGTGCTGGGGGGGCGTTCCTCCACTCCTTGTGTGGGGGGGGCCGCTGCCACCCCCAGTATGGTGCTGGGGGGGATCTTCCTCCACTCCTTGTGTGGGGGGCCCCGCTGCCACCCCCAGTATGGTGCTGGGGGGGGGGCCTTCCTCCACTCCTTGTGTGGGGGGGCCCCGCTGCCACCCCTGTATGGTGCGGGGGGGGGGCCTTCCTCCACTCCTTGTGTGGGGGGGGGCCCCGCTGCCACCCCCTGTATGGTGCTGGGGGGGGGCCTTCCTCCACTCCTTGTGTGGGGGGGCCCCGCTGCCACCCCTGTATGGTGCTGGGGGGGGGCCTTCCTCCACTCCTTGTGTGGGGGGGGCCCCGCTGCCACCCCCTGTATGGTGCTGGGGGGGGCCTTCCTCCACTCCTTGTGTGGGGGGGCCCCGCTGCCACCCCTGTATGGTGCTGGGGGGGGGGGCCTTCCTCCACTCCTTGTGTGGGGGGGCCCCGCTGCCACCCCCTGTATGGTGCTGGTGTAACACCCAGGACCCCCTCCCCTTTAGAGTTCACACTCAGGGAAGCCTTCTCCAAGAGGTCAGCCCAGATGACCTCCGGATTATCTTGTATGTTGATTAAAAAAATTCCTGGGTTAGTCTTAGTCAGCATAGTTTCAAGTATGTAATATTTCATGCAAGGGAATTAGACTCCAGATTCTTATGTGTAAACATCCTTGGATCTCCCCCTTTTGGCCAGGTCAGAGGTCAGTCACACACGTAATTAATAACTCCTCTCTTGAAGAGTGTATGGTGAATGTCAAACAAGCTTATTGAAATATTTCTTGAGTGTATGTACACGTGTGGCCGATCTCTTACATTCTTGGTGTAGGTAGCAACAGCAGATCTCCCCCCTCCCCCCTGTGGGGGTTGTATATAGAGGTCCTGTAGGGACTTAGTAAGGACAGAGTGCCGGACACCGGGGTCCAGAGAGGGCTGTGAAGAACACCTCAGCCAGGGAGAGACAGAGGTCTTAAGGAACTGTGTGTGATCTGAGGTTTTGTTCCATGTCCAAATTTCTTAACTTTTTGCCAGTGTTAGAGTAGGATTTATAAGTGGTGATTGACATAATTTTGGTCTCAATAAACTCATGTTAAATTTCCCGTCTGTGTCAATTGTTGAATCCTCTTAGCCTTTTGGATATAGTGGCTGACAACCGTTTTCATAATTAATGACAGTCATAGAAAGTACTCTCCAAGTCAAGCAATGTTTCTTGCCTCGTTGCTTGATATAGTCTCAATGGTCAAGGCAGATGGTGGCAGCGTATTTAATCCTGTGTTAGCATCTCCTTGTTGGCAGTGTACCTTTTAGTTCCGGTGTAACCATCATATGTCAGCTCACATTACCGTGTTTCATAAGTGTTACCAAGTGCAACCAATGGGGAAGTGTTACTCAGGATAAGTAGTGTTTACATTATTAGTTTAGTGTTCCTTTATAGTGGTGTTCCATTATAGTGGTGCATTATAGTAGTGGTACAATTGGTGGTGTTACACTGGGGGGGCCTTTATCTACTCCTTGTGTGGGGGGGGGGGGCCGCTGCCACCCCCAGTATGGTGCTGGGGGGGCCTTCCTCCTCTCCTTGTGTGGGGGGGGCCCGCTGCCACCCCAGTATGGTGCTGGGGGGGCCTTCCTCCACTCCTTGTGTGGGGGGGGGGGCCCGCTGCCACCCCCAGTATGGTGCTGGGGGGGGCCTTCCTCCACTCCTTGTGTGGGGGGGGGGGGCCGCTGCCACCCCCAGTATGGTGCTGGGGGGGGCCTTCCACCACTCCTTGTGTGGGGGGGGGCCGCTGCCACGCCCTGTATGGTGCTGGGGGGGCCTTCCTCCACTCCTTGTGTGGGGGGCCCCGCTGCCACCCCCCGTATGGTGCTGGGGGGGCCTTCCTCCACTCCTTGTGTGGGGGGGGGGCCCGCTGCCACCCCCTGTATGGTGCTGGGGGGGGCCTTCCTCCACTCCTTGTGTGGGGGGGCCCCCGTTGCCACCCCCTGTATGGTGCTGGGGGGGGCCTTCCTCCACTCCTTGTGTGGGGGGGGCCCCGCTGCCACCCCCTGTATGATGCTGGGGGGGGGCCTTCCTCCACTCCTTGTGTGTGGGGGCCCGCTGCCACCCCCTGTATGGTGCTGGGGGGGGGCCTTCCTCCACTCCTTGTGTGGGGGGGGGCCGCTGCCACCCCCTGTATGGTGCTGGGGGGCCTTCCTCCACTCCTTGTGTGTGGGGGGCCCGCTGCCACCCCCTGTATGGTGCTGGGGGGGGGGCCTTCCTCCACTCCTTGTGTGGGGGGGAGGCCGCTGCCACCCCCAGTATGGTGCTGGGGGGGGGGCCTTCCTCCACTCCTTGTGTGGGGGGGAGCCGCTGCAACCCCCTGTATGGTGCTGGGGGGGCCTTCCTCCACTCCTTGTGTGGGGGGGGCCGCTGCCACCCCCAGTATGGTGCTGGGGGGCCTTTCTCCACTCCTTGTGTGGGGGGGCCTTCCTCCACTTCTTGTGTGGGGGGGGCCCCGCTGCCACCCCCAGTATGGTGCTGGGGGGGGCCTTCCTCCACTCCTTGTGTGGGGGGGGGGCCCCGCTGCCACCCCCAGTATGGTGCTGGGGGGGCCTTCCTCCACTCCTTGTGTGGGGGGGGGGCCCCGCTGCCACCCCCTGTATGGTGCTGGGGGGGCCTTCCTCCACTCCCTGTGTGGGGGGGGGGCCCCGCTGCCACCCCCAGTATGGTGCTGGGGGGGCCTTCCTCCACTCCTTGTGTGTGGGGGGGCCCCGCTGCCACCCCCTGTATGGTGCTGGGGGGGGGGGCCTTCCTCCACTCCTGTGGGGGGGTCCCGCTGCCACCCCCTGTATGGTGCTGGGGGGGGGCCTTCCTCCACTCCTTGTGTGGGGGGGTCCCGCTGCCACCCCCTGTATGGTGCTGGGGGGGGCCTTCCTCCACTCCTTGTGTGGGGGGGTCCCGCTGCCACCCCTGTATGGTGGGGGGGGGTCTTCCTCCACTCCTTGTGTGGGGGGTCCCGCTGCCACCCCCTGTATGGTGGGGGGGGGGTCTTCCTCCACTCCTTGTGTGGGGGGGGCCGCTGCCACCCCCTGTATGGTGCTGGGGAGGCCTTCCTCCACTCCTTGTGTGGGGGGCCGCTGCCACCCCCAGTATGGTGCTGGGGGGGGGCCTTCCTCCACTCCTTGTGTGGGGGGGCCCCGCTGCCACCCCCTTGTATGGTGCTGGGGGGGCCTTCCTCCACTCCTTGTGTGGGGGGCCGCTGCCACCCCCAGTATGGTGCTGGGGGGGGGGGCCTTCCTCCACTCCTTGTGTGGGGGGGCCCCGCTGCCACCCCCTTGTATGGTGCTGGGGGGGCCTTCCTCCACTCCTTGTGTGGGGGGGGGGTCCCGCTGCCACCCCCTGTATGGTGCTGGGGGGGGGGCCTTCCTTCACTCTTTGTGTGGGGGGCCGCTGCCACCCCCAGTATGGTGCTGGGGGGCCTTCCTCCACTCCTTGTGTGGGGTGTGGGGGGGGCCGCTGCCACCCCCAGTATGATGCTGGGGGGGCCTTCCTCCACTCCTTGTGTGGGGGGGGGCCCGCTGCCACCCCCAGTATGGTGCTGGGGGGGCCTTCCTCCACTCCTTGTGGGGGGGGGGCCCCCCGTTGCCACCCCCTGTATGGTGGGGGGGGGGGGGTCTTCCTCCACTCCTTGTGTGGGGGGGCCGCTGCCACCCCCTGTATGGTGCTGGGGGGGCCTTCCTCCACTCCTTGTGTGGGGGGCCGCTGCCACCCCCAGTATGGTGCTGGGGGGCCTTCCTCCACTCCTTGTGTGGGGTGTGGGGGGGGGGCCGCTGCCACCCCCAGTATGGTGCTGGGGGGGCCTTCCTCCACTCCTTGTGTGGGGGGGGCCCGCTGCCACCCCCCAGTATGGTGCTGGGGGGGGGCCTTCCTCCACTCCTTGTGTGGGGGGGGGGCCGCTGCCACCCCCCGTATGGTGCTGGGGGGGGGCCTTCCTCCACTCCTTGTGGGGGGTGGGGCCGCTGCCACCCCCTGTATGGTGCTGGGGGGGGGGCCTTCCTCCACTCCTTGTGTGGGGTGTGGGGGAGGGCCGCTGCCACCCCCAGTATGGTGCTGGGGGGGCCTTCCTCCACTCCTTGTGTGGGGGGGGGGCCGCTGCCACCCCCCGTATGGTGCTGGGGGGGGGGCCTTCCTCCACTCCTTGTGTGTGGGGGGGGCCGCTGCCACCCCCCGTATGGTGCTGGGGGGGGGGGGGGCCTTCCTCCACTCCTTGTGGGGGGTGGGGGTCTGGTGCGCGTCAATACAAGAGTGAGATGGTCATTTCAGTTAAATTATCAAATTCTTGAGAGTATCTCAGCTGGATAAACCCCTCCACAGGATACCTGATCAACCTGGCTGATTCACACGGCAGACTGCGACCAGCCGCCTCCAACAGTGTGGTTGACCAGGTCTATAACCGGGAGGCCTGGTTGAGGACCGGGCCGCTGGGACCTTGACCCCAGGAATCAACGCAAGGTAACGCTAAGGTAATGTACACGACACACAAATCACAATAGCGTGATGCATCAAATGAACAAATCCACAAGGGCTGTGACGAGGGTTCGAATCTGCGTCAGAGACCATCCCAGACGCTGCCTTAATCGACTGAGCTACGACAGGGTCAAAAGGAGTTGAAATTGTGAGTTGTGTGTGATGATGTAAGGGCGAAGAGGAAGAACGGCCTATTGACATAGCTAGAGTGCAGGGGGGGGGGTTGTGTAAAACCCTGGTGTGTGCTTCGGAGAGGCTGCAGGATCCAGTAAGTTCAGTAGAACTTCGGTTTAAACTCCTTTTGACCATGTCGTAGCTCAGTCCATTATAGCAGCGTCTGGGATGCTCTCGGACGCTGGTTAGAATCCTTGTTACGGCCCTTGTGGATTTGTTCATTTAATGTACACGACGTACGTCAGACACCAGTCGGAGTATGCAGCTCCAGCCTGGAACCCATACATGGTAATGTAAAACATTAACACGGCGGATGTGCATGTAATATATCTAAATCTTCTCTGGTACATAGAGCAATGAAGCGCGTCAATGACTGGGCAAGTACAACTCAAACCCAACTTGCAGGCATATACCTTGCCACTAAATTTTTAAGACAAAGGCAGTGGACTTGTATACTGTGACTCGCAGAGTGCACTCCTGGCACTGAACGCACATAGTAGTGACACCCAGAAAATAGTCAGTGATATTCGAATGAATGTTTTAGCTGCTAAAGAAAACAGATTTGAAATTAAATTCCTGTGGATACCATCACATGTTGGCATCTCAAGGCATGACACTGTTGATATGCTTGCTAAGTCAGCCTGCAGAAAACCAGTGGTAGAAATTGATATGGGTGTTTCATTAGCAGTGACAAAGAGAATACTTAAACAAATATCTAATGAAGATCTCACCGACCTAACAAATTCACAAAGACCTGAAAGTTGTAGCATTAAATATTATGATAAATTGTCATTGTCAGCTTGTAGCACCAGAGGCGGGGGGGGGGGGAGCCTCCAGTACCAGCTTCCTGCCCTCCAGTATGGGGGGGCCTCCAGTACCAGCTTCCTGCCCTCCAGTATGGGGGGGGCCTCCAGTACCAGCTTCCTGCCCTCCAGTATGGGGGGGCCTCCAGTACCAGCTTCCTGCCCTCCAGTATGGGGGGGGGCCTCCAGTACCAGCTTCCTGCCCTCCAGTATGGGGGGGGGGTGCTCCAGTACCAGCTTCCTGCCCTCCAGTATAGGGGGGGGGGGCCTCCAGTACCAGCTTCCTGCCCTCCAGTATGGGGGGGGGGGTGCTCCAGTACCAGCTTCCTGCCCTCCAGTATGGGGGGGGGCTCCCTGCTCCAGTACCAGCTTCCTGCCCTCCAGTATGGGGGGGGGTGCTCCAGTACCAGCTTCCTGCCCTCCAGTATGGGGGGGTGCTCCAGTACCAGCTTCCTGCCCTCCAGTATGGGGGGGGGTGCTCCAGTACCAGCTTCCTGCCCTCCAGTATGGGGGGGGGTGCTCCAGTACCAGCTTCCTGCCCTCCAGTATGGGGGGGTGCTCCAGTACCAGCTTCCTGCCCTCCAGTATGGGGGGGGCCTCCAGTACCAGCTTCCTGCCCTCCAGTATGGGGGGGGGGGTGCTACAGTACCAGCTTCCTGCCCTCCAGTATGGGGGGGGGTGCTCCAGTACCAGCTTCCTGCCCTCCAGTATGGGGGGGTGCTCCAGTACCAGCTTCCTGCCCTCCAGTATGGGGGGGTGCTCCAGTACCAGCTTCCTGCCCTCCAGTATGGGGGGCCTCCAGTACCAGCTTCCTGCCCTCCAGTATGGGGGGGGGTGCTCCAGTACCAGCTTCCTGCCCTCCAGTATGGGGGGGTGCTCCAGTACCAGCTTCCTGCCCTCCAGTATGGGGGGGTGCTCCAGTACCAGCTTCCTGCCCTCTAGTATGGGGGGGGGGCCTCCAGTACCAGCTTCCTGCCCTCCAGTATGGGGGGGGTGCTCCAGTACCAGCTTCCTGCCCTCCAGTATGGGGGGGTGCTCCAGTACCAGCTTCCTGCCCTCCAGTATGGGGGGGTGCTCCAGTACCAGCTTCCTGCCCTCCAGTATGGGGGGGTGCTCCAGTACCAGCTTCCTGCCCTCCAGTATGGGGGGGGGCCTCCAGTACCAGCTTCCTGCCCTCCAGTATGGGGGGGGTGCTACAGTACCAGCTTCCTGCCCTCCAGTATGGGGGGGGGGTGCTCCAGTACCAGCTTCCTGCCCTCCAGTATGGGGGGGTGCTCCAGTACCAGCTTCCTGCCCTCTAGTATGGGGGGGGCCTCCAGTACCAGCTTCCTGCCCTCCAGTATGGGGGGGTGCTCCAGTACCAGCTTCCTGCCCTCCAGTATGGGGGGGGGTGCTCCAGTACCAGCTTCCTGCCCTCCAGTATGGGGGGGTGCTCCAGTACCAGCTTCCTGCCCTCTAGTATGGGGGGGGCCTCCAGTACCAGCTTCCTGCCCTCCAGTATGGGGGGGTGCTCCAGTACCAGCTTCCTGCCCTCCAGTATGGGGGGGGGTGCTCCAGTACCAGCTTCCTGCCCTCCAGTATGGGGGGGGTGCTCCAGTACCAGCTTCCTGCCCTCCAGTATGGGGGGGCCTCCAGTACCAGCTTCCTGCCCTCCAGTATGGGGGGGGGGGTGCTCCAGTACCAGCTTCCTGCCCTCCAGTATGGGGGGGTGCTCCAGTACCAGCTTCCTGCCCTCCAGTATGGGGGGGGTGCTCCAGTACCAGCTTCCTGCCCTCCAGTATGGGGGGGGGTGCTCCAGTACCAGATTCCTGCCCTCCAGTATGGGGGGGCCTCCAGTACCAGATTCCTGCCCTCCAGTATGGGGGGGCCTCCAGTACCAGCTTCCTGCCCTCCAGTATGGGGGGGCCTCCAGTACCAGCTTCCTGCCCTCCAGTATGGGGGGGGGGCCTCCAGTACCAGCTTCCTGCCCTCCAGTATGGGGGGGCCTCCAGTACCAGCTTCCTGCCCTCCAGTATGGGGGGGGGGCCTCCAGTACCAGCTTCCTGCCCTCCAGTATGGGGGGGGGGCCTCCAGTACCAGCTTCCTGCCCTCCAGTATGGGGGGGTGGTGCTCCAGTACCAGCTTCCTGCCCTCCAGTATGGGGGGGTGCTCCAGTACCAGCTTCCTGCCCTCCAGTAGGGGGGGGGCTCCAGTACCAGCTTCCTGCCCTCCAGTATGGGGGGGGGCCTCCAGTACCAGCTTCCTGCCCTCCAGTATGGGGGGGGTGCTCCAGTACCAGCTTCCTGCCCTCCAGTATGGGGGGGCTCCAGTACCAGCTTCCTGCCCTCCAGTATGGGGGGGGCCTCCAGTACCAGCTTCCTGCCCTCCAGTATGGGGGGGGGTGCTCCAGTACCAGCTTCCTGCCCTCCAGTATGGGGGGGGGTGCTCCAGTACCAGCTTCCTGCCCTCCAGTATGGGGGAGGGGTGCTCCAGTACCAGCTTCCTGCCCTCCAGTATGGGGGGGGTGCTCCAGTACCAGCTTCCTGCCCTCCAGTATGGGGGGGGCCTCCAGTACCAGCTTCCTGCCCTCCAGTATGGGGGGGCCTCCAGTACCAGCTTCCTGCCCTCCAGTATGGGGGGGGGGCCTCCAGTACCAGCTTCCTGCCCTCCAGTATGGGGGGGGGGCCTCCAGTACCAGCTTCCTGCCCTCCAGTATGGGGGGGGCTCCAGTACCAGCTTCCTGCCCTCCAGTATGGGGGGGGTGCTCCAGTACCAGCTTCCTGCCCTCCAGTATGGGGGGGGCCTCCAGTACCAGCTTCCTGCCCTCCAGTATGGGGGGGGGTGCTCCAGTACCAGCTTCCTGCCCTCCAGTATGGGGGGGTGCTCCAGTACCAGCTTCCTGCCCTCCAGTATGGGGGGGGTGCTCCAGTACCAGCTTCCTGCCCTCCAGTACCAGCTTCCTGCCCTCCAGTATGGGGGGTGCTCCAGTACCAGCTTCCTGCCCTCCAGTATGGGGGGGGTGCTCCAGTACCAGCTTCCTGCCCTCCAGTATGGGGGGGGGTGCTCCAGTACCAGCTTCCTGCCCTCCAGTATGGGGGGGGGGTGCTCCAGTACCAGCTTCCTGCCCTCCAGTATGGGGGGGGCCTCCAGTACCAGCTTCCTGCCCTCCAGTATGGGGGGGCCTCCAGTACCAGCTTCCTGCCCTCCAGTATGGGGGGGGGGGCCTCCAGTACCAGCTTCCTGCCCTCCAGTATGGGGGGGGCCTCCAGTACCAGCTTCCTGCCCTCCAGTATGGGGGGGGCCTCCAGTACCAGCTTCCTGCCCTCTAGTACCAGCTTCCTGCCCTCCAGTATGGGGGGCGGTGCTCCAGTACCAGCTTCCTGCCCTCCAGTATGGGGGGGGTGCTCCAGTACCAGCTTCCTGCCCTCCAGTATGGGGGGGTGCTCCAGTACCAGCTTCCTGCCCTCCAGTATGGGGGGCCTCCAGTACCAGCTTCTTGCCCTCCAGTATGGGGGGGGGTGCTCCAGTACCAGCTTCCTGCCCTCCAGTATGGGGGTGTGCTCCAGTACCAGCTTCCTGCCCTCCAGTATGGGGGGGGCCTCCAGTACCAGCTTCCTGCCCTCCAGTATGGGGGGGGGGTGCTCCAGTACCAGCTTCCTGCCCTCCAGTATGGGGGGGGGGTGCTCCAGTACCAGCTTCCTGCCCTCCAGTATGGGGGGGGGGTGCTCCAGTACCAGCTTCCTGCCCTCCAGTATGGGGGGGGGTGCTCCAGTACCAGCTTCTTGCCCTCCAGTATGGGGGGGGGGTGCTCCAGTACCAGCTTCTTGCCCTCCAGTATGGGGGGGGGCCTCCAGTACCAGCTTCCTGCCCTCCAGTATGGGGGGGGGGCCTCCAGTACCAGCTTCCTGCCCTCCAGTATGGGGGGGGCCTCCAGTACCAGCTTCCTGCCCTCCAGTATGGGGGGGGTGCTCCAGTACCAGCTTCTTGCCCTCCAGTATGGGGGGGGGGTGCTCCAGTACCAGCTTCTTGCCCTCCAGTAT